TAGATCATCCTACCTCGTCGCGTCTTTTTTAACGGAACTGTTTAGAAGATCCGCTGTTCCAGGTTCAGCACGAACCCTCAGAGACTCGGAAGCTGACCGTCAGAACTACTGGCGCATGCTCAATGCAACATGATGTAGCATTGTTTCAGTTTCGACTTAGCTACCCATGATCTACTCTGTGATATCCCCATTGATTCCATAGCTGTATATTTTCTTATTCATCAGGTATCTGCTCTGTGTTATTTGTTTGTTTACCTCGTTTTAACTATGTTGAAAAATAGGGTTTGATGCGACCCTATTCAAGCAGTAAGCTTTCAACCGTTATCATGTATGAAGTTATGAAGTTTCTTGAGTAACACCTTTATCTTAATCTTCTGATAAGGACGTGATTGCATAAAAAACAACCGAAAAATTTGGTAAACTGCTCTGATTAATAGTACATTCATATCAGAGGCTCACAGCAGTGTCTGAGATAAAAACGCCTCGAAACGCTTGCTCCTTCTGCATATCTTCGTTTGCATGTCATGTGTTGCCACTGCATTTCTCTAAGTGAATCAAAATATTTTCCAAGCAATCATTGCTTTCGTAATTTTTATGCTGCAACATTATAATTCTCCATCAGTTCCTTAAACAGCTGTTTAAAGAAAAAGTCCAATGTAATGATTCGAAGTTCTAGCTGGGGGTTGCTGAACTCGCTTTTGATGTCATTACGTGAATTTAGAAGGTCAAACTGCATCAAACAACATATAAATGCTTATTAACGTAGTTATGGACAACAAATACAAATCTATCGTCTCAAAACACAATGACGTCTCTAACATATCAATGCCCATGTCTTAGTTTTAAAATAATTTATAGTCAAGAACTCAACTATTTGGTAAATCAGAGTAAACAAGCGTTAAACTCAAATTCTGAAAATAATATGCTAACTTTGCGAATTCATATGGGGCTTTGATTACAGCAAACTTTGAAAGCTCTATCATTAAGTACCATAACCTTAAGAAATCAAACAACAAAATGACAATTTAATATTATTTCGATATAATCTTTGGAATATCGTTTTCATTACACGTCATTTTTTAAGTAGTATGTGAAATTACATAGTCAGAAAGGACGAATTACAAAAAAAATAATTTAAAAATGAACTGCAGAAGAAAAGGCAGCAAGGAAAAGAGCCTACTATAGAACCGCCGTATAACCAACAGTAAGAACCCCGAAACGAAAATTCCGAAAAATTGGAATCCTCAGCACATACTAATTAATATGATAACCAAAAAAGGTAAAAATAACCATAGAGAAAAGATTTACAAATGAATCTAAAAATTGAACATTACCTTGCAGTAATTTATCAAGCTCTTTGCTACCAGTTGTAATCTGGATGATTTCGGATCTTTTCTGATGAAAATCAGTCGCCGTCGTGAAACCCATAGGTACTAGTTTCGATGCTTCCGCCTTAAACAAGTTAAGTAAAATAACATCGAATTCGGATGCTACAATGAAGCCAGACCAAAATTTTGTCCGCCTTCGCTTCGCTGATTCCCTTAATGTCGAGAATCGCCTTCTTCGGTGTAAAAGCCACAGATTCTACAGTGTAGAAGCCTGCTTCCTCTAATCTCTTCAGATCTGACGGGTTGATCCCAAATTGCTGTGCAGCAAAAACATCCGAGTGTTAAAAAATGGAGACCAGTAGTAAATATTTACCTCAAGACGTTTGATAGGCTGAGGGCCAAAATTCTCCTCAATTTCTGTATTGGAAGAAAGTGTCTGTTCAGCGGCTATTGATACATCTTCAACATCTTTCTCTTTCTCTTTTCCTTTGCCCTTTTCTTTCTTCTTTAAGGACTGCACTGCTGAAGCCATAGCCGTCGTTACCGCCAAATGCTATTGCAAACTGTACTGATATGCATGTTACGTTTGATTCCAATATTTAAATTTATGTCATGCTAAGCTTACAAATTACGGAAGTACACAACAAGTAAATTTATTAAAATTTTGGATAAAAACCTTTCATTCTGCAGTGGAATTAAAAAAGCTGAAAATAAAGATAAATATGACACAAAGCTTAAATTCAGTGCTAATGTACTGTACAAAACCCTTCTGCTACGTAATTCACAGTTTGGAATTCAATGGTGTAAAGCAAGTGTAAAAAGGACAGAGCTCAAATTATTTATTGTTTGCTGATTTGTCCTGCAGCCAGAAAATACTACAAAAGTTGAAATTATGCACAAGGAATAAAAAGTGTGATGTAAAACTCTACTTTCAGATGTAGCAAGGATGAATTTTTTGCGAATCTATTGAAACTGTAAATTGTCAATTTAACTAAGTTCCATTTATTAGCAACTTCCTATTTGATTTGACAACTACATTGTAGCTCTTCCATTTCATAAAACTAAATATTATGACGACTGCAGTTTTCCGGCCTTCATTCACTTAATAATTGCCTTAAATCCACACTTTGTGCAATCCGCGAAAGCTCATCTTAAGCTTGTTAACTTCAGACTGACAACCGAGTATTATTTCGAAAATCGCTTCGAGCTAACTTTATTTTTGGCTCGTCAGAAGTAGGTTCTCCGAAGGTAAATATTTCCTTATTGCGCAACGTTTCAATCATAGACATGTTTTATTGCTCCTTACATTTATGGTGAGTACGCTAAAACTAATAACATAATCAAAAATTGAAATGATTGGCATGTATAATTTTTCAGACAACAGCTGCGTGAAAACTCGGTTTCTATGTTTAGACATTCGAAGCATTCTGGAATCATGAGCTTTAGCGAGCAACGCAGCTGTTAAGCTGAACGTCAAAACTCTGCTACATGGCGAAAGCCAAAAAGTCAATACTGGTTCTATTTTCCGTGCTTTGCGGTTCAGTTTTTTATCTTAGCCGTTTCTATATTTCCGACAAAAAGGAAAAGGCGCCCGTTATAACATCTTAGCTTAAATAACGCACTTGCGGATGCAACTCTATCTATATTTCAATTATCAATATTGCATGCTGGACGTCGAGCCAACATTTAATAATCCCTCTCTCATAAGAGAAGCTTGCCAAATGGAACAAAGGGTTTATTCTGAATTAATTGTCCAGCAAACAACCTCATCTGCCCTATTTCAAATCTAGATGTTTGATGGAAACGCAACGATTTAAACAACTAAACAACAACAACACTTATTTGCAAAGAAACGGATCATAATTATTTGCCATCGATTCTGCGCCTTCCCTTTAATCGTATTTAAATATCATTTTCAGTTTTATACATTTGAATTCAGTTTAACGTAGAGTCAAAGCCTAATTATCGCTGTTGGTCGCGTTTTATAATCATTCTGACTTCCACAACGATCGATGGAACTTCCTCAAGAAAGCTCCATCTTCTGTAATTCCACAGTCGGCATCTTCAACACCATCAAATCAGCAACGTATGCATCTCCACGAAAATGCTTGCAGCCATAACTGAGGCAGCTGGCATACACCTCTCTTAAATTATCACTGCATTCCTTTATACACAGTGCCTGGAAAAACTCTAGGGTTTTGGCTGCTCAACACCGCCAACTGGACACATGAGGAAGACTCTGTTCCGGCAGCTGAATGATCAGACTAACAGAATTGGCAACGGTGATAAAATCGCGACACATTCATACCATCCCGCTGCCACTGCTGGTCATAACTACTGACTCGACCTTGCCGCGTTCCATCTGCTAACAATTACAACTCTGTTATTTCTAGTATCCCTGAAACAAGACAACCATGGTTTGAAGCAACAGCCATCTGTACCTAGTCTACCGTTAATAGTTGCTTCCTATTCCATTCATACTACTAATCAATGTTTCTACATGAAAACAAAATCTTTTAAACAATAACCTATAAATAGCCAATGCAAAATAAAGTTTGGCACATAAAAAAGTTTAAAAAATTCTGCATTCACGAAAACGAATCAAAACTAGAGCGTGACATAATTTCAACCAAATTAATCATGTCAACAATCATCAAAACTTTCTGAGCTAAAATTGATGAAATCTCTGATTTCACCGGAAAGACGAACAACGAAATCGATCACATATCCGATCGAACTAGAGCTGAAACTGTTCCTTCGCCTTCTCACAGATCGCCTCTGCGATGGCCAAGCTGGACGTTGCCGCCGGAGATGGAGCATTGCGAACATGTAATACTCGATGGCTCAGAGCGCCTTTGCCATAGTCGAAGATGAAATCATCTACTAGCTTGCCGGAGGCATCAAGGGCTTGAGCTCTGACACCGGCTGGACCTCTAAATGTAAACGGTTGAAAAGTAATAATATAAAAGCGCCAGTATATGACCATAACAATGTTCGAGTAATCCTCAGAAGGCCAATCTTGGCATCTACATTGTGAAGAGTAAAGATGACGTAATGGCTCATATATGAGAGCGAATTATTGTATGTATTGTACATGATCGCTATGACATTAAAGCATGTAATAAATTTAAAAATGTTAGGCTAATTTTAATTGAGTAACTAGCTACTGCAGACATCATAATGCTTAAAAGGCAAATCATGATAAGAGAGGAACCATCTGACTACAGACTCAAAACGAAGGCACCGAAAGAGTAATTGGCAATAATCGTGAGGCGAACCTAATGAAATCTGACGTGCCCTTACCTTCTCAGCAGAGAAAGGCTGATATTCTTACCTGCTAACATCGGAAAGATGCAATTCTGGTACGTATCTCTGCAACTGTTTAACCTGGGCACTTATGAAAATGCCCCGGTACATTTCGGAAAAGCCGTACTGCAAGTATTTGAATGCCAGCTTCTGCATACCTCTAGAAAATTGAAATGAGTCAAATGAAATCGTAGACCAAACGCAAACGAACGCACCTGAAAGCCAGCGAATCGATCAAGTCCGCAATGCTGATGTCACGGTACTTGTATCCTTCTCGTTTGTATGCAAGTACCGCATTCGGACCAAGCCACACGTCGCCGTTCATTCGAGGAGTGAAGTGTACCCCGAGGAATGGTAAGGTGGGGTTTGGAACCTAGAAGAACTAAGCTTAAGAACGACGGGGAAACGCTCTGCTTTTAGGAACTTACTGGGTAAATGTTTCCACGAATGAGATAGCGTTTCTCCGGCTTCAGCAGCAAGTACTCGCCACGGAAGGGAACAATTTTTGGGATCGGCGAGCAGCCAGTCAACGCTGCAACACGGTCCGACTGAAGTCCGCAACAGGTAATGACGTATTTGGCACGAAGCACCTAAATTTTCCGTCAAGAAGTGAATGTGCATATCAGCGAGCAACCACTTTAGCGTTCACACCTTGTCCTTGGAAAAAACTGCAATCGGCGCTTCGTTACTCTGTCCTTCGTTGTTCATTTCCGACGTCATTACGATGTCAGTAACTTTAAAATTTAGGAAAAGCTTGCCTCCCCTTTTCACAACGTCATCGCCAAATGAATGCGTCACCCTGCCCCAGTCGACAATTCCCGTGTGCGGGGACCAAATTGCCTTGAGGCCCTATAAATCGAACACTTCGTAACTTAATATGTTTAGCACATTATTTCTTCCACTCCTTACCCTGCAGTGAGGTTCGTACTGGATTATATCGGCCTGTTCGATTATTTTCAAGTCTCGAACGTTGTTCTTTTGACCGCGTTCAAAGAGGTCGTGGAGTCTTGGAACTTCTTCGGGCTCGACGGCGACGATTAGCTTAAATAGAAGAAATCGCATAGCATTTTAAAATTTTTTCAGTCGGCAATTCGCTTGAAGTACTTACTTTCCCACATCGTTTGTAAGGAATGTTGTTTTCAGCCAGGTATTTGTAAGCAAGTTCAGATCCTCTAACGCATAATTTCGCCTTTAACGATCCAGGAGCATAATAAATGCCCGCATGAATCACTCCACTGTTACGAGAGCTTTGATGAAAGGCTAAAAACCAAAAATGGTGTTATTATAAACGGCGTGCTATTGCTAGTTACAGAATTGCCATCAATGCTATAACAGCAATACAGAAAGTCAATAAGGTGGGAGCATAGCCATCCAATTCATTATAGCTACAAGTTTAAGGGCAGTTACAACACGCCTTGACAACCTATCAATGCGTCATTGACGGCCGTTGTATTAAATCTCAAGTGCCAATCATGATCATGGAACTTAACAACACAACAACAGCAAATCATCTCAGCACATAACAAATGTTAATTTCATTTACAGTTAATTACCAAGTTTATCCTCTTTGTCAACCACCGCGATTTTGAAGATGGGATGACGGATGGAAAGTTCTCTCGCTGCGGCACAACCAACGATACCCCCACCGACGACAACAATGTCGAACTGTTCATTCCCGGTAGTCCTAAATTAGGTTCTAAAACAAAAATGATACAAACTGTAAAATAACGTTTAATGCGAGAACAAGCAACATCGGACAGGAAAAAAATTAAGATCTAACGGACATTATAACAGAGACATACAAGAAAAAAATCTGCCCTGGAAAAACTCACAGGTAGAAATTTTTAAACAAGAATTTTACCTCAGGAAGCTTCTTAAAGCTGACAGTGAACAACTATTTAAAAAAAAACTTTTTTACGCACTTCATAAAAATTTATGAAAAGTTGATACACTGTAAGCTTCTCGTCCAGTCAACTATAATATTGAACAACTCACATGAACAGTAGCATTGTTTATTATTACGCACTTTAACCGCAATTTCCTATATAACGAATGACTAGTAACTCAATACACTATAGATTTGCCACCACCACACAAACTTAGTTCAGTTTTGATACTAAAGTTTAGGTTGTTT